AGCCAGAGAGAAGCAAGGATCAACACACCTGTGTGAGTGTGGCAAGAAGTTCAGCATTGTGTGTCTCCCGTAGATTTCCTGCACTCTGGTTTTTGAGACAGGGCTCTCGCTGAGCCTGCAGTTTCACGGCTTTGGCTAGGTTGGCTGGCCAGTCAACTCAGAGGATTCACCAACCTCTGCCCCCCGCATTGGATCACTGAGGTGGGCCACCCCAATAGGCTGAAGATTCAGGCCCTTGCTTTACTAACTAAACCAGCACCCATCTTGGGGTGCTCAAGAGAAGCCCAAGGCTTCATACATGGAAGGTTAGTGCTTCGCTCCTCCACTGTACTCTAGGTCTGGAAACCAGTTTCCATAGACGTTTTCTTTACATATTTCAAGGATCCACAGTTTTACTTTCTGTAAAACAACTGTGCTTTCTATTTGCCAAGCAATGAAAAGTATAAAGAGGAAGGGAAGGTTTTGAAGAAGCTGGAGCCAGGGTTGTGAGCTCCACCATGTGGGTGTGGCTGTGTGTGTCCTACCACGTGGGCCTAGGGCATGCACCTCCATGTGGGCCTAGCTACGCATGCCTCCATTGTGGCATGGCTGTCATTAGCAGGTTCGATTTCCAGCAAGCTTTCCTAACTTTTGTGGGGTTTTTTTTTTTTTGAGACATATCACTATATCTCATAAACAGTAGTATTTGCAAAAATATTCACTCCTGAAGTATATTTTTTTAGACATTTCATACTAATTACTGTTTGGACTTTGTGTGGTTGGCATTTATTTCAGAGAATATCCTTAAATGTTAATTTATGTTGAATCCTTTTTTAAAAACTAGATTTCTTACTATTTCCCACTTATATAAGATTCCATGCACTCTGCCCAAAGTTTAGCCCTAAGTCTCAACATCTGCTTTGATAGTCTGCAGGGCAGAGCCTTTCAGAGGTCCTCTGTGGGAGGCTCCTAACTTGTTCCCCGTTTTCTTCTTCTGATGTCCATCCTCTTTGCCTTTCTGGATGGGGATTGAGCATTTTGCCCAGAGCCCTCCCTCTAGATTAGTTTTTTAAGTGTTACAGATTGTAGTAGGTTTATCCTATATTATTATGTGTGTATATGAGTGAGTATATGCTGTGTGCGTCTTTCTGCTTCTGGGACAGCTCACTCAGGATGATCCTTTCCAGTTCCCTGCAAATTTCATGATTTCCTTGTTTTTCATTGCTGAGTCATATTCCATTGTGTAGATGTACCACAATTTCTGCATCCATTCTTCAGTTGAGGGGCATCTGGGCTGTTTCCAGCTTCTGGCTATTACAAATAAAGCTGCTACAAACATGGTTGAGCAAATGTCCTTATTGTGTACTTGAGCCTCTTTTGGATATATGCCTAGGAGTGGCATGGCTGGATCTTGAGGAAGTGTTATTCCTAGTTGTCTGAGAAAGTGCCAGATGGATTTTCAGAGTGGTTGTAGTAAGATCTGGAGAGGACAGGGGGGGTCCACAGGGAGAGCAACAAAACCAAAAAATTTGAACACAGGGGTCTTTCCTGAGACTGATACTGGAGTATTATGCATGGAGATAACCTAGACCCCTGCACAGATGTAGCCCATGGCAGTTCAGTGTCCAAGTGGGTTCCATAGTAATGGGAACAGGGACTGTCTCTGACATGAACTGATTGGCCTGCTCTTTAATTACCTCCCCCTGAGGGGGAGCAGCCTTACCGAGCCACAGAGGAAGACAATGCAGCCACTTCTGATGAGACCTGATAGACTAGG